TGTCCTTTTGAGTAATATTCAGGCTCTTGAGGGGTCTCGGGTCAGTTACAAGTAAGAGAGTTACTTTTAGTCTTTGAAAGTCCTACTGTTCAGCCAGTGCTGTGTAGGCAACTACCCTTGGGGATGTTTTACAGCTCTGCAGTTTCCCACAGGGAGCAAAGGACCAGTTGGAAGAAAACTGAGGCACAATTTAAACAAGGTCTGAGTCCTAATTGAACATAAGGTAATTGTTGTCCGAGTCTCACCTGTAATGAATCAGGTGTGTCACTCTGCTCACTGTTTTCTATGGGTCTGAAGAGCTCCTTCTTCTTCTCCCTGTCCCTCATGTCAGGGCTAGCAGCACTAACAAGAATCTTCAGGTTAGCAGTGGGCGTCCAGGGATCAGGCTGAGGTCTGTCAGTGAGCTTAACAGGTGTAATTGGATTTCTTTCCGGGGTGCAGCCTTTTTGCTTTGATAAATCAACTGGCTCATTCTTAATGGGAGTCTTTGGGGCCATCCTGGATCGATCAAATATGTTTTCCTATTAAAAACAAAAAGGTCTTTAGACACAACAGGAAAGAAAACAGTTCAACAATCAATTTAATTGTTCTTATGAAGGTAATTTTAGTGACTCATGCCTTGGTACTCATAGCTATATTTAGCACAATTTTTCTGCCTTTGCTGGAAGCGATAAATTATTCTACATGGTGGTGTACTGGAAAGAGTGTATAGGAGGTACTGCCCTGAATTACAGAACCTGAGGTCAACCAGTCCAACCTGTGGCCACTCAGGCTTTGAAACTGACTGTTATTACAAGACAGCACTGCCCAATGAACATAAATCATCAAACTGGATCGAAACTGAAATAATGCATTGGTCACATTACACTTAACAAGACAACACAGTGTTCTGCTTGAAAGGCCCCCAATGAAAAGCCATGCAGGGGATGCAGCTCAGACTGTCATAAAATGTCAAACTAAAGTGGATGTAACTTCATGTGCCCATGAAGCAAGCTTTGCATCTGCACTATCTGCTGCCCAAAACTACCGAGAAAATCTCCATACTTGTATTCCCTGAACACAGCTAAGAGCTGCCAGAAGGAAAATCAGCTGATTTTTATCATTCTTTGAATGAAGCTCAACTCCCTTCAGTCCCTAGCTGCAATCAAACTTTTTTCATATTTCATCTTTGTGTCCAATTTTACCTCTTCCTCTTAGTGCAAGAACTATCACTACAGATCAGTGATAGAAGATGATCACTACAGATCAACTAACATCAAGGGACCGACTGAAGAAAGCATCAATGATATCCTTGCGCAGAGATCCCTTTTTGAGCAACAAGGCATCCTGCTTCACCCTAGCTTGTTAGTGCAAATACTTCATGAAAACTAAAGGAATGAAGCAGACAGGATGTCATACTGGCTTTCTTTCTGGGATATCAAAACCTGAGGCCCAGGTATCCTAGACCTGGCACGGAGACCTGGACTTCCAAAAATGCTCATGCAGAAAGTTGTTTCTTTTTGCCCAGGGAGATCAATGTTCTGTTCTTAGATAGTCCAGCTATCATTTGACTCTCCTTACTCCCCTACAAACAGGACCCTGTTTTCTTGGAGTTCTAGCTAATATTGCTCAGTGGTTTCTAGATTTAGTCACTTGAAATGACTACATACACCTTAAGTGAAGTGAGAAAGTGAAGCAGACACTACAATCAGAAAGCTAGCAGAGCTTATAACTTGCTGGAATTGGGACTGAAGCCCTTGGAACCACAGGAAACTGCTTTCAAACTACAAATCAGGCTTGAAGTCATTTGCTCTTTGGTCTAGCTGTGGCTTTTTTGATGTTGGTCTCAAACTGAGCAAGTCTTCATGCTCAGACTAAGATTACCACTTCATTTTTATTTTTTTTTTAATTACTTTTAAAAATCTAACATTGCAACTTTGACGCTGGATATTGCTATGTATTTTGTGCTGCAAGAAGTCCAATTCTGAAGTGGAATACAGCCTGAAAGAAAATGTTAAGTTACCATTGGTTTTCTGTAGGAACTTTCCCAAGTTAATTTTGCCTTTTACTTGGAGCAATTCAGCTATCACTAGCTGATATAGATATTTAAATAGGTGATTCCAAATATCACCTTATCAGGTACAGTCTAGCTAGAAAGCAGAAAGAAGTAATAACTGAAGCTGGATTTTACTAGGAGCACTTCTGTAGCATTCAAACTGGAAATTAATTTGGCACATCAAAAGCATTGTACTCTGAACACTGATGAACACTTCTGCATATGTCCACCTATGAATTGCCCAAAAGGATGTAATGAATATATTTCCTTTTAGAATTAACAGTTAGTCAGTTGTAACTTACTACACAGTGATAAATAGGGGTCAATTTAGAGGCCATGATACTTCTTGGAATATATGTTCACATACTGTTGGCACTCAATACATTCTTGCAATTTCACATTTGGCAGTGAATCAACACTTAATCTGTAATGGAGAAAGTCTACCTTCCCCTCAAGTTCCTGTTCACTATGACTGGTACCAACGGAACTGCAGTGAGGGCAGCTGAAGCAACCTGCTGTTCCACTACCTCAAATTTTCATGTTTGTGCAAATATCACAATGAAAAATGTAGTTGCGCTACACGAGATGTACACATCTGCTATCAACTTTCCAGATCTTTATTTTTGATATGTCATAATTGCCTACTAAGGTAAGAAATGCTTTTACACCCTCTCCTTTTTTCTTTTTTTTTCCCAATAGCTGCAATGCTCCTGGCTGAATTGTACAAAATTGCAAGGGCAGCTGGTAGAAGTGTGAGATTCACCTTGATCCAAGCAGAGATGGCTTACAAATACAAGAGAACGGGAAAGGCTGGCTTAACGAACTCAGTATACAAGCAGGAATTGAAACAAATATCTGAGATAACAGGAGCTCAGTCTGACAAGAACTACGTGATCTTTGGAGGACTCAGACTGACCATGGACAGCAGGTCATGAATCAGGTCTAGTTCAGGAGACGTTTCTGAGCAAGATATGACTGAGATTAGATGTCCCGTTTCCTGGCTGGTGGGGCAGGAGAGGAATGATGAGCTTGTTCTTTGCTGAGTGGCACTGCATAGCCACCCTATGGATACAGGCATACTTCTCCAGGCCAGCAGGCCAGCATAGCAGACATGTGCATCAGCACGGTCCAACTGCTGCTAAGTAACCGGACCATACCATTCCCATGTCACGTCGGGTCTGGTGTTGGTTAACTTTTGAACGGTGAGCCTACACACAAGTCTCCTCTACCTTACCCAATGGTAGCCACTGGGATGCTTGAGATTGCCTAACGAGTTTTCCTTATTGAATGAAAGCTAAAAACCTGTTTCCCTGAGAATAATGCCAGAGTGTAATGACTTCACTTACTGACAGCAGTGGCCTCACTCACGGTCGCTTCACTGGATTGTCTTTTTACCTTAGTGGTAGCACCGGACACCCCTGTGCTCCGAGAGCCACCAGGTAAGACGCAGCCTCACGGACCACCAGGGCAGGACGGACCAGGCGCGCGGGTCCCACGGGCGGCACACCGAATGCTGCCGCGGGGACCGAGCGGGACACCACCCGGGGGCACGCGTTCGGCCCGACCCACCCCCAAGCCCCCGGGTCGGGAGCTCTGCACCCCCGGCCACCCCCACTCCCCGGCCCCGGGCCGCCCCAACGCTCCGCACCGAGAGTAAGGCGCGAGGGGACCCCTCACCCGTCCCGCCGCCCCCGCTCACCTTCTGGGCCGCCTCGGCGCGGCCCCGCCGCCCCGGCCGGGCGCTGGCCAGGTCCCGCAGCGCCAGGACGCTCACCTCCATCTGCAAAGCCAGAAGGCGATTTGAGCCCGGCCCTTAAGAGGAGCCGTTCCCGGCCCCAGCGGGACGCGAGAGCAGCGCGGCAGCTCGGGGCTACCCTCCCCAGCCGGCCAATCAGGGCCTGCCCGCCGGGGAGCCCCGGCCGAGCGGCCGGCCAATCAGCGGACGGGCAGGCGGCGCGCGGCAAGCAGGGCTCCCGCCCGCGCGGGCCCGCTTCGCTCCTTTTCTGCGCGCGGGCGCCGCCGGCCCTTCCCTCCCCTCCCGCCCTCAGCTCCCGCCGCCGGGCCGCCAGCGCGAGGCGGGCCGTTGGCGGGCGGGAAAGGGCCGCCTCAGGGCGAGCGGGGCCGGGCAGGTGGGGCTGCCCCCCGCCAGCTCCCGCTGTCCCCGCCGGGGGGGAGCGAGCCTCTCCCGGGCCGCTGTAGGGCCGAGTCTGGTGCTGAGGGGCTGATTCCTGACGGGAAAGAGGGTTCGGGGAGTTGGGGGGGTCGGAACGACGGGGACCATCTTGCCCGGCGCCGTCTGGATCACGCCTTCAGTCTCTGAGGGGGGGAGGAAGGGGCTGAGGCGGGTGCAGCCGCTGTCCCTCGGCCGCCGGCCCGCGGAAAACGGCGTCAGCTCGGGTGGAGAGCGGCAGCCCGGGCGGCGGGGGGCTGTGGCGGCTCCCCGCTGAGTGGCTGGGGTGCTGCTGCTGCTCCTCCCGGGGTGCTCGGTGCGGGCCGGGGGGGCCCGGGCAGGCAGCCTGCGGCACAGCCCTGGGCATCCCGGGCGGGGGGGGATTCTTCACCCCTGAAACGGGTCGGCTGCCAGGAGGATAAAGCGGGCAGAGGCTTTGGGGAGCAGTCGGGACACAGGAGAACTTTTTACCAGCCCTTGGTCAGCCTGCTCCATGGCTGCCCCCGTGCCGAGATTAGGGAAGGATGGAAGAAGAGCCCTGTCCAAAGTTAACACGCCAAGCGCGGGCAGCCCGTGGAGCTGTGCAGGGATGAATTGTCAGTTGGTCCTGTTTTGACTGTGGAGACGCAATGTTATGAAAAAAATGAGAGAATAATTGTCAAAATAATAGCAGAATTCCTTCAAGCTTGAAAGTGAGTGCTCTAAGCTTGAGACCCATTCTGGAGAAATTTCCTCTATGCGGTATAATTAATTTTGCTTTTTTAATTGAGTTTGTACTTAAGGTTGGGGTTTTTTTGTTATGCTAATGACAGACATGCTGCTGCATTATTCCTGTCTTGTTTTGTCATAGGAGGATTTCCTTCTCAAATCACTCATGGGTTAGTAATGAGTCGTCACAGAAGAAAAACTCCAGTACGCAGTTCTGATAACTTATACAAGTACGCATTTTTTTATTTTTGAGGAACAGAAAAATTCATTTTTTTTTTCAATAGGAATGTAGATAACAGAGATATTAAGTCTCTTGTGTTAACTTTAATTTATTTGTTTTTAACCTACTCTAATATTTTCAGCAAGCTCCAGTTTGTTCAAGAGAATGAAATACAAACTTCCAGAGAACTTCTTTTTAATTAAAAAGAAAAAAAACCCTTTACGCTGTTCTTGTAAGCCTTGGTCTTTTTTATTGTCTAGAGGAAAATTAATTCCATAATTGCAAATTGCGTGTCTCAGTATGTATTGGATCCATAGCAGTTATTTATGGAAAGAAACATTTCTAATTAATAAAATATTACTATTTCTCTCACTCACAGGAAGTCTGAAAACAGACTCATGAGAATCGTAAGAGATGCAGAGTCATGGAAAATCTAAACAAGAATCTCACGTTGCAGACTGACATGCTCAGGCATGAACTCCAGGCCAAGGTAAAGACATTGAGAAGAGAGTTTAGCAGCTGAGAACCTGCTTTTGTGCTGCACACTCAGTGATATCAAATCGCCTTCTGGCCCCTTCAGTTGTCTACTTAAACACAAATTACTTAGAAAATTAATTATCAGACCTTTGTTTTAGATCTGTCACAGGAAATTGTGTATCTGTTGCCAATTAATAACATCTATGATAAGGTATTACATGCTGTGAAAGTTTAATAGATCTAACTGCGTTTGCAGCTCTAGTACAGAGACTTTCTGGTTAAGAGCTTAATGGTGGTCAGGACCTGACTATTTGAGTCACTTGCTAAAATACTGTGACATGTGCCTGGAGAAGGTCATTTGATCATTGCAACGGTTGCTTCTGGCCTTAGAAATCTGGTCGTTTATAAGCAGTTAAGCAGAATATCTGTAGGTTGGCATGACACCTGGGAGGCATAAGTCCAGATACTTGTCAACATCACCTACAGGCTATGCAGGCAATGTGGCACACCTATTCGGGATGTTTCTGAGTTGTAATACCATCGTTCTGCTGCTGGTTACTTGATGCTCAGGGCTTGTGACTTTTCTTACTTTAGGTTAAGGATGGCTCTGAATATAAATTGCCGTTACTACTAACGCTCTCTATGAGTCATCAAGGGAGAACTAATTTGGATCAAGTTTGACACCTTCATTTAATTTTGCTGACGTTTCACAATGCACAGTATTCTTGGCAGCCGAACTGCTGGCTGCTTGAAGGAAGCTGGCTGAAATTATGTAATAGCTGTGTTCTGGAAAGCCCACGGTCTGTTGAAGATGAGACGAGTGAGTCAGATCTCTGACAGGCTGGAAGCCCAGCCTGTTTGCCAGGTGAAATTCAGCCCTGGAAGGTGTGGTGGGGTCCAGCATGTGGATGAGAAGCAGAAAAAAAAACGGGTCAGAGGGAGAGAGGGGGCGCTCCTGTACTTAATGGGGGTGCTAGGGCCCGCTTTGGTGCTGGGTATGATAAGGGCTATGAGTTGTGTGTATAGATCAAGGTGGGAGAAGTGAGACGTAGCACCAGATGGGCAGCTGTGGGAGCTTCGGTGGGTGTGAAGGGACACTGGGTGCTGGTTTAGTCTGAGGAAATGATGTCTATTTCATGGGAGGTATTGGCAGTGATTTGGATACGGTAATTACTCTTCTGTAATATGGAAATGAGAATGTTCAGAATTAACGTATTAAGCTGTTACCTGATGTGAGGAACATATATAACATAAAATACACTGTTTTATTAATCAATGCTAATCTTTTCCCTAAGATCAATACATATTTAAGTATTGTAACGCATTTAGTAAGCCTATTCTTTGTTCAGTGAAATAAACATCCAAATCTCCTCTGATAATGAAATGTAAACCTTAACTGGTTAACATGTTGAGTTAATCAGAACAAAACTATAACACCGCATTTCCTTTCCTGGCCGTAGCAGCTGAAAGAAACTTGCTGATTATCAGATAAGATGAGTTATTGCAGCCATACACACATATATCATAATATGCTCCAAGATGATTTTATATCAGGTGATCAACTAGCAGGAAAGAGTTAACAGACTATTAAATTGAAGTACAAGTGCCTGTTCTTGAGTGCTTTTATTATATGACTGTTACTGGACCAAAAACACCTGTCTGATTATTTACAATTTTGTATCAATGATACATGGACTAGTATATATTTTTCTATTTAATGTGAATATCATTAAGAATTAAATGTTCCCATTTATTTCCTCTCATGTGTTTCCAGACTTGAAAATACAGTATTTCATGCAAGCAGTGGTGAAGGTGCCAATTCTATGTGCTATAAAGCCAATGCCTTTGGCAGAGGAGATGGATACAAACAAATCATATCCACGTATCCAACAGTAGTCTGTCACAGAATAGGAAATAGTTTTGAAGACATCAGTACTTTTAAACCTGTATGACTTCTTGTAATGCAAAAAATATGATGGGTCAAAGACCTAGTAGTTCATATCTCCTCTTCCCATCTGCCTTTTCCTATGAGATCAGTTATGCTGGAAAATTATATTTCTCTGTTTTGGCTGATATTTGAAAGTTCAGCTCAAAAGTTCAGCTATGAGTGAGGAAGAGACAGATCCCGGCACAGATCAGATTATGAGGCTTTGTTTCCATTAAAAGCCAGACTGAGTCACCCAATTGCTGAGTCATCAGGGAATCTGTGGGCACCAGTGCTCCCACCAGTGAAGGCAGTGGCATGCCTGGTGTCTTTTGCTGATTCTTTCCCAAACTGTCACTGGCTTAGGTGTCATCTCCTCCCTGGGGCAGCTTGGAAGTTCCCACCTTTATGTGACCTGAGGCTACCTTGAGCTAGGCATGTTCCGCACCAGCATGGGAAGTAGATGTGACCATTAGACATTCATGAACAGCCAGAAGAGGTTGCATTACAAGTGATCCTATGGACATTTGGCATTAGTAGCAGTGGCTAAAATACACAAGCAGGGCTGGGAGTGGGACCTGGACCCAGCAATGCCCTTCTCTCACCATGCTGTGGGGTTGCATGCTTTTGAAGTTTTTATTTGCTGTGATAGAGAGCCCTAACTCTGAGAGGAGGGACAGAGAGGGGCCACAAGTAGACCACAGCTGGGTGGCTCACAGAAATGACAGTTGAGATATGCACATTTGAAATCATCCCTGTAGTGGAAGGCATTGAATGAGTCTCCCTTTTTTCTGAGTGCTCTGCTTAACTGCTCTCTCAGTATCATTGCCTTGTCCCTTGGCTCTGTCTTATCTGTAAACAGAGTAGGTGATTTCCCTGGATCCAGATCAAGGCAGGCGCTGATGGTGTTTAACCTCAGGCTACAGGTGGAAGAAGAGCTTCAGATCCTCGGTATTTCCCATTGCCTCATTCTGTTTCCCTGTTGTCTAATTCAGGTGCAGCCCTGCTCAGGGCTGGAGATTCACAGGAGACAGCCAGCTGTTAGCCCAGTGGGTAGTGTAGGTAGGCTGGTTTGAGAAATCCCTTCTGGGAGCTGAGCAACTGGCATGGCCGTGCCTTAGTCCTTTTATGGGTCTGATCTCAAGTAACCTGCCAAAGGTCACATAAGGAAGCAGGTAGCTCACTAAATCATGTCTCCTTAATTAGCCTTGCACCTGAAAATCACTTCCAGCTGCGGCTTTTACAAAAAGCTGAATCCTTCACAAAGGTAGCATTACACGGCCAGTGGTTATTGCATACTGAAATTAAATTGCTATTAATGGTCAGCTCCCTGTAAGGTTATAATTTCATTACTCTTCTCTGAGTGGGATACAGTTTGCTTAATGTCCCATACCATAAACCTCTCTACTGTGGCTTCATGCAAATAACTTTTTAGTAGAAAGAAGTGAACAAAGAATCAATGTGTTTAGTGCAAAACAGTTTAAAAATTATTAGAACAATTAGTCAAATGTTACATGAGGATACCAGAAGGCCACCGTGATAGTTGGTTGAAGCCCTGTCTTCCTGCACACCGTGTGGTGTCTTTACCCTGGACAGCCCTCGGTGTAATAGATACGGGGCTGTGGATATCTTTCAACTGGTTTCTATACCATAGAGACACAATGTGGAAACTTCTCTGTCTTGTCAGGTTACCTTTAGTGAAGAGGGCTCCAGTACCCCTGCTTAGCTTGTTTCAACTCATCCTAAGATGAACCAGGACCTCACAGCACAGGATGCTCTTCAGGCACAAGAGCACACACCTCCCATGCAGCTGCAGTCTGCATCGATTCAAGTTAAATTCTAGAGTTCCTTGTTTCTTCTGTGGAATATTGAGAAAATACTCCTGCACAACCATTTCTGCCTCAAATTCACAGGAAAGATTTGTTGTTCCATAAAACCGTCAGTAGTTTAACTCAAAGAAGGATGTGCTCCATTTTGTAAATATTCAGAACTGCTTTCTCCTGATCATGTGCTACTATTTCATTGTGCAGACTGGTTCAGCAGCACTAGTGTCCTCCATGGACCTGCCACCTGAAAGTCTGGCTGTTGGAATTGGCAGTGAAATAGAATGCCAAGTATCTTCTTACAGATGAACGGATTTCTTCCTGGTTTCAGTCCAAAAAGAAAGGCAACCAGCCTCCCTCAATCATTAAAAAAATTCTCTTGAGATCAAACGGGATCTGAAAAGCAGGCTTTTACCTGGAAATTATGATCATAAATGTTATAACAGAAGTCCCAATATGACCTTGGTGATATGCTACACGGAGAATTCTGTAAGAACGTTTACAGTCAGTGATGCAGTCTATCTGCAAAATGTCCTCCAATGGAGGAACAAAATCAACAGATGGACAGGCATGAAAGAACAAAGTCCCATACTTCTTAATTTTGTAGCACAATAGTCCTGGCAAAGGTGACCAGACATGCTCCTGACTCATTTCATTACTCTGCCCTGTACACTTTGATCTTATATGATTGTCCCTAGATTACAAAGCCAGAAGGACCATTAGATCAGCTGGTCTGACCTCCTGTGTGCTGCAGGCCATTAAATTGCATGCATTACCCTTGTATTGATCCTAAGGACTGCTGCTTGGCTAAAGCTTGTGTTCCAGAGAAGCATGTGGTATTGATCTGAAGACAACAAAAGACTGTGAATCCATCATTTCCACTACTATTTGTTTAAATATGATCCCATTGTTCCTATTAATTTTTTTTTTCCTTATTTCTAATTGGATTTTGTCTGGCTTCAGTTTCAAGCCACTGGTCCCTGCTATGCTTTTTTACCCTAAACTGCAGGGCCTTTCAAGTGTTGCTTTTTCCCATGGCAGTATTGGAACCATGAGCAGGTTACCTCTTGCTCATTTTAACAGACTGAGAATAAGAGCCTTTGTTTCTCACTAAAAGCCATTTTCTGATGCTCTCAAATGACTTCTGTTTTTTTTAACAGCTACTCCAATTTTCTTGCATATGTTTTTAATATACAGATATGTAAGCTTTATATTTTGTCACTGTACGAGTCTCACTAATGATTTATGCAGGTGCAAAATTGTTGCCCGCCACTGATCTGCACTCTCTTAGAAAACTGCACTGCAGAAAGATTCTCCTTCAGTGGAAGTAAATTTGAAGCTTCACATGGAGATTTATAATTGTATTTTATTTTGGGGTCCTTAATTTTTCACAAAGCAAAATATTTCACAAAGCAAAAAAGTGTATGTATCCATGGAAGTATGTATTTTGATTTCTTCACCTGGCCATCCTTCCGGGAAGCTTGTGGTTTCGATAAATTCAGCATTTCAATCAGGATGGAAAAATGTATTGCAAAAGTTTCCAGACTCTTCTGCTCCTTGCTTCTGGTATGGAGATCTCACTAGTCCTCCTGCACTGCACAGATAGCTCAGTAATAAATGGCTGGCTGCTGTGGGCTCTAGATCTTTTGAAGCCACTGCTGGGTAGCCCCAAAGCTACTCAAAGGGACCCACGTTCCCTCTTCCTAAATGAATAACTTGGGTGTCTACAGACATTTTTCATTTGCAAAGGGTTCTTCTCATCAAGCAGTCCCGATCTCCTATATGACAACCCTTCTCATCTGCAAATTTTATCAGTTTTTACTTTTTGCCTTTGTTTAAAGTTTGCACCTTCTGAGAAGACAGGAGGCACAGCTGTCCATTTACAGTACGCTTTGGCAAGTTAACTGTGCATCAGCGAAACTGTCACTGGAGTCACTGCCCATCAACCCAGTACAGAAAGGAGAGTAGTTTCTGCTGGTCCCTCATATTATGCACACGCTATGCTTAAACAAAACTCCTAAAGGCAGGGTGACTAAACCATAAAGAAAATCACTTCCTAATAAGCAAAAATGGGGAAAATCTTTACTGCCATCAGGACTGAAGAAGCTCTCAGATATTGACAAGGAATTTATTAGATCCAAACTTGAAGTTATAGAGCACCTTAGGCAGACTTCACTCTCTAAGAGTAGAAAGTTGTTGTCAAAAAAAGCCTCTGCATAGTAACCACCAAACCCCAGAAGTCAGCTTTTTGGGGAAGAAGGAGACCTGGGTTTTTCACCTGAGCAGTTCCTGCCACCTGGGAAGATAGTGGGCTTGAACCAGGGCTGAAACTGGGCTACCTGCCCCATCACCATCAGCTGTAGCTACTGTCAATAACTTGCTCTAAATTGATACAAATATATTTGCATGGCCAGTATAGCATAATGCATTTGGTTTATGTAGTGGGAGCCAGAGCTCAAGTATGATTTAGGCTTGTAGGGGATGTCAATGCCAACTTGTAGGTCCTTGACCCTCGGAGTGGAATCTGAAGCCCAGTGCCAGTCAGATTCAGCATTTGCAGAGGTACATGCCACACCAAACTCTAAAGCCCACATACTTAGTGGGAAGCCCTTTTCACCCAGACAACAGGACATAATAAGGACAAGGCTGAGCCCCTAAGCTCAGGTTTCTCAAAGTGTCTATCCTGAGTGACAGAGCCTGGTGCAACGATCTTCAGAGCAACTGAACTTTGAGGTGAAACTCAAAACTGTACCTTGCACAGACACTCTGGCTTTTGTTTCAGAAGTGTGTTGCTCAGATGTTGAACCCAAGCCGGTGCTGTTGGACCATGCACTCAAGCTAATAAACCCTTTTGCAGTGCCGGAGAGCTTGTCCCTATGGTCATGGTTGCAGCCTCCTTCCTTCCATTGTGGGTGGCCTAGTAATCAGAGCTACTGTTACTTATGTCACTTTTCTTTCTGCCTTGCCCCAACTCTTCCTTTTTGCCCCAAGGCCACCAGCCACTTTGCTTGGAGCTGCCCTAGATCTGTCATCTTTTATGCAGTGGTATCTCTGCTACTTTTCAGTATTTTAGTTCTTGGAGTTCTGAGGAAAGACAGCTCCACAGTTCTTCAGGGGGCTAATTGCAGTCTGGCAGAGCGGTGGTGTTTACTAGTTGGACTGCTTCCACCCAAAAACACTGCTTCCAGACCGTAGCGTGGAGTGATACAGGTGCACTCGTGCAGAGCTGTCCCTGGGGTAATAAACTAGCACTAAGCTGGCTCTGCACAGAGCCATATGATGTGTCTCCACCTGCAGCGAGGTTAGTCTATAATCCAGATAAATTGCCAATGAGTAACAGAGCAGAGCTGACTATATATCTGAAGTCCCCGTACCACTGCATTTTTAAAAATAATGACAGTAAAAGAAAGCATTGCATTTGATAGACGGTCAGAGCTTATTTGACCTGCAAAGGAACAAAGACATTTAGCACCTTAGAGGAGCAGGCCCTGAATCTCTTGGTATTTGTAAGGATTTAGTATTATACTTACAATGCACTTCAAGGAAAATAGAAGCCATCTGATACTTATGGTTGGCACATGAGGGCTGTGATTTAATGAAATTTCCTCCCTGATATGAAAGGAGGCTCTTCGAAGTGGAATAAACTGAAATACCTATGTGTAATGATCCTGTCGGGGCTAGAGAACAGGATAATGTTGTTAGCCTATAAGTTTTGCAGGATATATTATATTACAAAATGTGTCTTAAAGATTGCTCTAAATACATTTCCATTTCTCTGATGTTTGTGAGCCAAGAGAAACATTTTCCCTTTCTCCGATGTGTGAATGTGGGTGATTTGGTAGGGGTCAACCAATGCCATAAAACTAGCACTAGAACCCAAGCCTAATGGGGTTTAAAATGCCAATACAGAATAGAGCTGTGAGTTTCTTCTAAATAAAACCCGGGTATCTTTGTCTGATGCTCAAGACATGCCCTACAAGCATCGCAAATCAACTGGGGAACTGCTAGGAATTTGGTGCATTTTAAGACCTGACTTGCTACAACAACAGTCAACAATCAGTCAGCTGCAGTGCAAGGGATTGGATAAGAATCTAATTTACAAGCCCAGAAAGACTGCCTGCATTTTGAGCAGTACTGGAAAGTTTCTCAAACTCATTTATTTATGTTATTTTAGAAGAATACAAACAATGCTTCTCTTGGAAGCAGAGATAACATTACCTTGCCTGAAATATAACTGTAACACATGCCCTCTGGGGGAGATAATAGAAAGAAATCAGAGGAAGGACAGAGAAGGATGTCACTTAGATTGGGTCTGGTCAGGCCTATTGCCTGCAATTAACTTGTGTAAACACACTCGATATCCCTTCTATTAAAGGCTCCCAGTTACAGCCATTTAGTCAGTTGCAGGAAGGATACCAGATGCAGGGAGGTTACCTTGTGCAAAAGTGTACAACATCCGTGTCACCCAGTAACAATAGTTAGTGCTGGTGAGTACAGGGGGACAGAAGAATGGTCCCTGTTAGATTAAGTCAGAAGTCTGAGTAGCCCTGTCTCCCACAAGATGCAGTAGCAAACACTCAAAGGAGGTGCATAAAATCAGAATACACTGAAAATTATCCTTTCCCTGATCATTCTTCCCAGGTCCAGCACTTTGGGGAACTTCCTGAGAAGGCAATTGCATCTAGACCATTGTGTTGAGCATCTGCCTCTGAACTTAGCCTGCACAAAGTGCCTTTTGAACTCACCTGCACTTTTGGCCACCTCAGCGTTCTGGAGTGACAAGTTCCACAGTGTAATTACACAGCATGGGAAGTACTTGGCTTTGAAATATGCTGCCTGATGGAGTACAAAGGTTTTCTTTACATTAAGCTGTCTGTTAAAACAGTGAAAATGAACAAATGAAAGGTCTGCTGTGGTATCCTGCTATAAGATTTATCACCAAGTGTGTTAATGCTACCATTTGATTTGCGGGTGTAAATTGCATATTTATGTGGTGCTGCTGTTCTTATTCCCCAAAGCCCTCTAGAGTGTATGAATGAGCTGCTCTGTTTGAGCTGCAGTGTGTGCAATCAGAAGCTTCTGGTTCCTTTGGGAATTCAGTTATAGCATGAAATTAATCTCTTTCAGCTACTCTGGTTGAGCAGGTGAAAAGTGAAAATAATTATCAAAGCTTGGTGGCCTCTAGTAATTGTGTGAAACCTCTGAATATGCCTGCACTGCAGCTTGCTAACATAGTTTGCAATTGTCTGAAATGACACAGTGCTTAAAATAGATAACAGCACTGTTTTCCTCTTGAATGGCTGGAGAGCTGCACAAACCAGGTAGTCAATCACATGCCTTTAAAAAGCCACTCATTTTCAGTGCAAGCATTGAGTGAATTGCTTATTCAAAGTATCCACTGTCCTCCTGACATGTCCTGGGTAGCTGGGAATGCTAGTAATTAGGCCCAGTGCAGTGACTGTCTTTTTAGATGGAATAACAAGAACTGATTTTACTGGTACTGCCTACACTATCAAGAATGCAGTATCTAACACAGAGAATTGGCACCAAACCTTAAATGGAAGCTAATGCTACTTTTTTTTTTGGCTGAATACCAAGGATGGCTAAATATAAGCTCAGGGCTTGCTTTTGTTGCTTGGTGAAAATTTTTAATAATCTAGCATCTAGCACTTAACCCTTCTCACTCTCTAAAGAATCAGAATAATTCTCAGAAAAGTAAATGACTGCTTTTGCTCTTTTTTTCCGTTAGTCCTTTTTTGGTCTTTTTTTAAATGTTCAATACAAATGAGAAATTTAAAGACGCTCAGGAGGGCTGTCAAGGAACCACCTGTTCTCGCTCAACAAATATGTAAGCAAGTAGTAATGAAAAAACAATAGCAGATATATTCTGTCCTTTGTTCAAGATTAGGCTTGATGGTACTTTCATTGCTACATCAACAAAAAATAATAATTACTAGAGTCAGAAAGGGACCTGGATGTCTAAATCTTGGGAAACTCACCTGAATGGATTCCAGAGTCCACAGTTAAGAGGCTCATACTCCTGCCTGGGAGGTTGGGTTATCTTGGAATAACAATTACACAAACCTGCCCCTGAGACCTGACCTCCTTGGCTTTCAGGAAAATATGATTAATAGCTACTAGAAGAGCTTGCCATCCAAAATCCAGGAGGTGTTTTCAGTCTTGCATTTCTAACCAGGTTGTGGCCACAGGAGGATGCTTGAAGCACTGGTTGCAGGCCCAGGGGAGAGGCAGGATTTCAGATCATCCTGCGGTCAGCTGGGTTAGGCTTGTCCCAGGCTGAGCACATCGTGTGCTGAATTCCTAATTCTGCCCTTTCTGCAGCAGGACTTTGGCTTTAGGAATTCCACACACAGCCTGGCAATGCCCAAATTCAACCTGAAATTGACATGCAGCTGGGGTTCAGGCATAGATGCTGAACGTTCCCAATTACGTTGCATCTGGGCTCTCCTGTGTGATTTGGAGGAATCACACAGAAAGGTATCTGCAAGTTTGGGTTCCCAGGGCACAGGAGGGAAATGCTGAGTGATATGGAAGAGGAAGTTGCATCCCAGTGCCACCTCCAGTGGGGCATCCTGGTTGCCCTTATTTCAAGAACAGCAGCTATTCCCAAGCATTCAACTCATGCAAAAACATGGCTCTTTTTGTGCAAATCGCAGAACAAATGAGTCTGCTGCCACTGGCTGCTGACAGGTGACACTGATTCAAGGTCAGAATCTTGTTATCATTGCTAGAGATTAGCATGAAGTATTTACAGGCATGAAATGTCTTTGCTTTGCTTGAAACTTGTAGATGAATTGGTTAAAGCTTCTGCATTCCACTGGAAATTGGAAAGCATGCTAAGGGCAAATTATTCAACAACTACATGTGCGTGTACAGTGAACTTAGTCACATCAATCATAAATGTGCCTAATTGAAGCTCTCAGGGTTTTGCTTTTCTTATGCTGTCTGTGTAGATGTAGTGTGATATGGAGTAAGATGTTCTTCATGAAGATGCTGATATTTAGAATGACTGGCTGTCAGTCAGTATCGATTCTGGAAATCAGCTGTTGCTGGAACGAATTTGACAGAATAAAAGGTCTAAGTGTATACCTGTCACTACTTATTTGTCCTTCCTGGGCATTTTTATAGGTGTGACACTGGCATCTGAAATGAAAAAGCATGTTAATAGTTCAGAGGTGAAAACAACAGTTGATGTATAGGATGTGGTAAAAAAAAAAAGAATTCTGTGGGCAGCCTTCTGTTTGCCAAGTAATTTCAATGACAGTACATTGATATTCAATCTGTTCACTGAGCAAGGTAACTCAAACTGAAGTGTGAAAGGGCCTATTAAATCAGAGGGAAGGACAGAAGGACATGCTTCAGCTACCATATTTAAGTCCTTTTACTCTGGTTTATACTATCACCAGATTTTACTTTAGAGATGATGTCGGATTTTTTTCCCCTTACTGCAGCATAGGGTCTTGCACTCCTGCTGATTTTTCCAGACAGTTCCTGCTCCAAGAATTCCTTGCCATCCTGAGGCTCCCAATGTTCTGTACTCTACTTGTAGCATGCCCACAACACACCTTTTCATATTTTTAATAATAGAAATATTTACCTTTTGGTAAGTGGATGAGATACTCTGTCCTTTCAGAGTAGACACTCTTGGTTTTTGTTCTGTGAGGCTCTGAAAGACACAAGGGATTTGATACATTGCAGAGGACAAGTGTTTAAGAACTTTTCGTGTCATTCATGGCTACTCACCCTGTGTGTTGTTATTGAGACCAATGATTTTGACACACCTCTTTTAAGTAATGACATTCCCTTATGTAAATATGAGTTTCTGAAGTGTATTTAAGAGATGTTCTCAGAAAGGAGCGTATTGTGTAATTGCCTTTTGAAAGAAACTGCTTTTTATGACCAACCGGACTTCTCTGTTCAATATGTTGTTTGATATAACTAGTCTTGGGCCCACATTCAGACATCTGATTTTGATCAACTGGATGTCAGTAGCATAATGAAGTAAAAGGATATGACCAGCTTGATTCTGCCTTGACTTTAGTCTTTAAATATACTAGCTAGTTCTTGTCAGCTTGACGAGGAAGTGACAGAAAAAGAAATTGGAGGTGGAAAGGAAGTTAAATTAGTTATTAAATGTTTGGTGTGACTGTGCTGGAGGTGTAGTAATTGTCCTTGCTGTTCATTCCAGTCTCTCTGCCCCTTGCCTGTCTGGAGGTCACTGCCAGCTGAGCTTGTTTGGCTGACTGCTCTTTAAATCTCTGGAATGATTTGGCTTAACAAAGCGCACACACTCTCAAATCCAAGTTATAATAATTTCATACTTTCTTTAGCAGGTGTGCTGGTTTAGGAGTTCATGCCCTGGGTTCAAAAGGAGTACTTCTGACCCCAAGCAGTTGCCTGGCCAAGCTCTCAGTGCAGCTCCACGAGTGCTTGACACTATGGAGAGGGACAAAATATCTGCAAGTAGGAAGAAAAGAGAAGCAGGAGCTTCTTGAGATAGGATTGCCTCTTTTATAAGACCACGTGGAGCCCAAGGATAGGGCTGGCATCCCATGGGTGTTATTTCTGCTTGCCAGGGGACCGCTGACCTTCCCATAGCCCTCCCCCTCCTTCCCATCTCCATTCTGCAGTTCACCAGCACCCTTTAAACGTATGCTGATACAACTTTTTCTGTGGATGCGATGTATGCCAGACCATAAGATATACCAGGCTTTAAAAAATGTCTGTTTGTGGCATGTCTGTTGTGGACATTTTTAATCTGGATCGTTTTACTGATATGGTTTAGAGTATAACATGCTAAACAGTTGCCTCAACGTAATACTGGAGAAGAGTGAAGGAAATAATTCCTGGAGCCCAGAAAGCAGCAGCAGGGAGAGGAAAATTCTTCTAAATTGTATTTGCAGGAAAAGAAAAAAGCAGTAGTGCTCAACCTGTCTCCTAGAGAAAAAGTGTCAGGATTTTGTTTCAGCCAGATCTGGCTTAGCGAGCCTTCTCCCTTCAATTGACACAGCTGAGCTGCAGGGGCTGGGGCTGGGTCTGGAAGATGTAACTTGCCTAACCACTTCAGAGACACAACCACCATATAGAAGCCCAACCTTTCTCTGTAGCAGACTGTATCTATAATGTGTCTTCACTAGTCTGGTGTAGCTGATATTGCTATATGCAAAACTTGTATCACCTGAAGGAGATTTGGCTTTTTCATGCAGCTTGTTGAACTGCTCAGACAAGCACAGTGCTACCTGAAAGGATCTTCAGATGTTACTGTGTTAGAGAGGAGTCCTGAGATAGCAAGAGATGGTAAGCTGTGCCGTAACACAGCACTCCCTTCTGCATGATGGGCAGGAGACAGGGCTCAGCATGTGGGGAGAAGTGGCAGAGAGCTGGTATACATGCCTTTTGAAGACACTTCTTATCCAGGAAAAAAAATGTTTTCCTACATCTTAGCTATTGTGAAATGCAGACTTGGCAGAATGTATTTTTTATCTTAGCACTAGTATGTCAAAGTTATGGGTTTGATTCAGCAACAACTTGATGAAATTTTGTGGCCTGAGGTTTTTGTTGCTATTTCTGCTTTGTTTTTAAACAAAGGAGTTCAATCTAGATGAGCAGAATGGTGCTTTCCAGGGCTGGAGTGTATGAAAGATTCATTCACTTTTACTGATATTCTCCTTTGTAGTTACGAGGCATAAAATAGCTGCTATAGCAAACTTTATTAAAAGGGGGAAGGCTCTCTGAACTGGTCTTGCTTTACCTGTTAACTGTTAGTTGTTTCACATTTTTCAGTTGTAGATTAAATGCAGTATTTAAGCCTATCAAGCATTGATACAAACAATTTGTAGGCAAAGTAGGTCATGTTATACCACTTAAAGGACCAAAAACGCGTGTGAGCTTTGAAGCCAAAAACATCTCTAATGCATTGTCAGTTTTGGTGGCTTTCAAAACTTCTGCTTAAGTTCTAATCATTCTTAAGTTTTTTTCAGACACCCAGGGCAGCCATTCGAAACCAAACCAATCTCGTCAGCATTCTAGTCAGGTGTGTCGAAACAGCCCTTACTGACGGAGGGTGCATGGAAATTGATACCCAGCAAATGGATTTCAGGTCTTGACTTTGACCCTTTGTGTTTCTAAAGTGCTGATGTTATTACAACAACAAAAGAATAACAGTTGGAAGAAAAACTGTTTGTTTTGGCCCTTTCAGAGAGAGAGTGCCATGTAGCTGTTAGGTGACTCTGGGAAAAGGTGACTATTTTGACTATTAACAGATGTTTTGTTCTATTACACAGTATTTGAAAGGTATCTCTGTAGAAGATAATTAAAAACCCAAATATCATCATAATAATTATTGGGGAGCGTATGGAGCCCTGGCTGGGGACACATGAGGTGTGGGCTCTGGTCATTGCTTCGTAGTGTGACACAGAGATGGTCACTGCACTGTGCTGCGAGTCTCTGCAAAGCAGGGATGAAGATGCTGATCTTGGTAAAGCATTTCAGGAATCTATTTATGAAAATAGCAAGATATTAGTACATATTTATGCAATGCCCTATTTGTGCAACCTGGTGCAGGTCAAATTTGGATACCTTGAAGCAAAATCTTCAGTCTGTCAAGGGGAGACGTACCTGGAAGACTGCTGCAGAAGAGCTGCCAGACCAGAGGAACACCCTGAGCAGAAAGCCTCTTACTCCTGCTGCATACAGGCTCCTGTTAACTATTCAGGTTCTGGTAAAATGTGGTGGGTTGACCCCGACTGGAC